TGGATTTGAACTCACTAGCTCTAGTGTGTGTAGCTGGCACCCTAACCACTGAGCAATAGACACCAAGCCCATAAATAGAATAGTTTAAGAGCGCATACATACATACGTACACACACAAAGCCTACTTACAGAAAATGATCTTGTAAAGGCAATGCTAGTGTTATGTGGTAAGCGAAAGTACTGGCTTTTTACCAGAAAGCCCCAATTTTTATTTATTTATTTATTTTTGAGACAGAGTCTCACTATGTTGCCCTTGGTAGAGTGTCGTGGTGCCTCAGCTAACAGCAACCTCCAGCTCTTGGGCTTAAACAATTCTCTTGCCTCAGCCTCCCAAGTAGCTGGGACTACAGCTACCTGCCACAACGCCCAGCTATTTTTTTGGTTGCAGTTGTCATTGTTATTTAGCTGGTCTGGGCCAGGTTTGAACCTGCCACCCTCAGAGCATGTGGCTGGTGCTGTAAACACTGTGCTACAGGCGCAGAGCCGAAAGCCCCAATTTTCTTTCTTTTTGAGACAGAGTCGCACTATGTCACCCTGAGTAGAATGCTGTGGCATCACAGCTCATAGCAACCTCCAACTCCTGGGCTTAGACTATTCTCTTGCCTCAGCTTTCTGAGTAGCTGGGACTATAGGCGCCTGCCACAATGCCCAGCTATTTTTTGTTGCAGTTTGGTGGGGGCCAGGTACGAACCTGCCACCCTCGGTATATGGGGCCGATGCCCTACCCACTAAGCCACAAGCGCCGCCTGAAAGCCCCAATTTTCAACAAATTAAAGAGATTACCCAATTTTATAATTCTTCAACTCTAAAACATCTATAAATGCAATAAGTGCATCTTAAGTGCTATATAGATTTGGTAAACTGACTTTGAAAGTATTCCAGAATGAATTTTAATAAATTCATGTATGAATTTCATTTATAGAAACATTTGAAGTTAGTAACTAGTTATGCTTGAAATGTTTAATTATGTATTTATGCACAAAAGGATATGACACAATATTATTTTCAAATCTGAATATTCAGGAAGATCAAAAAACACATCCTTGTGAATGAGAAATAGCTACTTTGAAAAAATTAGCTCTCATTGACCATTTATACTATTCCTCTTCTATCCAGATAGATAATAAAGTTAACTTTATATGGATTTGTGAGTGGGAGGCAAGAGAATTTAAAAGCTGGGTACAGAAGTTCCTGTGCTTCACTGAAGTACTGGTTTAATCTGACTATCACTGTGGCCTTGAGTGAGTCACCTTCCGGGGCTGAGTTTCCTAATCTGTAAAATCAGAGTATTATGTCAAATGATTCCTGAGGCTGGTTATTCTATAAGCTACTTATAATTCAGTTTCATCACTTCCGGTAGCTATAAATAAATAATCAAACTTCATCAGACCCCCAATATGAATATGTATGACTACTTCATATATCAAGTACTCTCAATTATAACTGAGTACAGGTTATTATTAAAAGGCAAAAGCTTTTTTGGCAAAGAGAAAGACTGAAAACAAACTCATCAGTGCAAGGTACTCTGCTTAAGACAATCTGTCTGGAGCTTAATATACTCCACTCAGACCTGGCTAATAGCAAAGGAGACTTGATGCTGCTCTGCCAGATTATAAACCAAAAAATAAGCCCATATTATCTAACCAGGCACTTTTTCAAGCATAGTACATTGCTTTTATTCTGACCATATGCCTGAAGTGAACTAACTGGTGGGAAGAGTTTTGAAAATAAACTAAGACAGGAGGAAACTACACAGCATGATGATGATGAAGTGTACAACAGAATCTTGGTTACTTAACTACCATCTTGCTATTAATAGATACGTGCTCATAAACAGTAAGTAAGAACATATGATGAGGTCACAAGTACTTTCTCTGTTGTATGGTTTAAATAGTTCACAAACTCTGGAATTAATTATTGAACTAAATACTTTACAGGTCTATACAGATTAAGTGATAGTCATGTCTAACTTAAATACATAGAAATTTTGGCAACATTTTAAGCTATAGGAAGTCCTCCTGTAGGTCAGTCTCATCTATAGCCACTCATTTGGGGTCTGTGCTCATTTTCTTTGATGAGAAAGTATCAATCTAGTCTACAAATGGTCTTATTGCTGCCTCTGTCCTCTCCTGTTTACCCCTGAAAGGTGTTGCTATGAAGCTAAAATGAAGAAAACCCAAGAAAAGCAAGAACAGAAGCCTAACTCCTATCATCATCTTACTTTTCCTAACCAGAGTAATATTTTTATTTCACACTGTCAAATTAGCCAAATTTCTACCAAGATTTGTTTGCAAAAGCACCATTCTCTTTAAAAAGTATAGAATCCAGGGTGGTGCCTGTGGCTCAGTGAGTAAGGCTCTGGCCCCATATACTGAGGGTGGTGGGTTCAAACCCAGCCCCGGCCAAACTGCAACAAAAAAATAGCCAGGCATTGTGGCACTTACCTGTAAACCCAGCTACGTGGGAGGCTGAGGCAAGAAAATTGCCTAAGCCCAGG